CTGTAAAAGAAAAAAAAACACACACACAAGAATCGCATCTTGCCTTCTTCGCTTTTATTGATCAGACCTTCAAAAGCTACATTATTAAGGTTCGATCCTCTTCTGAACTTGGACAGTTTAATGCCTGGATGGCATTGGCGGTTCTCTTCTGGAACATGCCATACTCGTCTTGAATCAGATATTACACCAGACATAGTCCTTGCCTTCCCTAATGTTGTATCTCTGTTCACGATTGACATTTTCGACCTGTTAGTATCGATCATCTACCTATCCATCTCTAGCTTGTTGCCAGTACCTCTTACACAAGACCACCTTCTATTAAAACACATTTAAATTTTCGTAACGCTAACTGGTCTTCTTTTCATGTCACATTGATAATGAACTTCAACATATTGATTCGAACCACTCTAAATTTGAGGATATTGATCATTACATTTTTCGTTTTTTCAGCTAGTTCTCGACACATTCTGGCTGTTAATTACCTTATACACAAACCTCCTTCACCACGTAAGACTGTTTCACTGATACACCGTTCTCATGTTTCGTTTCAAGAATGTCAAGTTGCAATGGATCCTGTGGCTATTAAATAATTTAGATGTCTTCAACGAAATGCTCGTAATTTTACCGTTGCAGCAAAGATACTACAATGGAGGAGAACATGCACTAAACTACGTAACATTTCTCATTGTTTCCAGTACTGGACTTAATTTAAATTCCTAACTGAATGATTATACTCTTCTAAGTATCTCAGTATTGTTGATATTATCATCCCTACTTCTTCCTTGTAGTCTCTGTTAGGGATAGCGGTAAGTTTACGGAACAACAACGCTAAAATCTGGGTTCAATTTCTTGCGGTGAACACAGCAGATAAACCAATGTGCATTTGCTTTAAAAACAAGCAAATAAAAATTTTCTTTGGAGAATGCAAATTTCTTTGTTAATTATTTTGACACAGTTTCTCAGACACCTGATTGTCACTCTTTTGACACTGATATCACTCCGGATATTTCCGTTTTTGCCAGACCCCACTTTCAAAAACTCATTCCATATTTTTCCCACTTTTCTAACTGCGTTTATTAGTATGTATCTGATATGTAACTTCTGCCACCTGATATCTATACATCGTACTTATAATTTCCACTAACAGCTGTTACTTTTTGCATATTTGATCTTTCATATTATCATTAATGATCACTTCTTCTCCCACTTGTTTATTCATTCTCGTCTTTCCTATAATGACTGAATACTTTTTCTTCACCTGCCCATTGACACCGCCACATTTGTCTACATGTGGTTAGTTCTCCTGGCAGAAGAGAGTGTGGAGTCAGTTTTTGTACTGGGACTGGAATGAAATATCATTAAAAAATTGCTTCACCCTTCCAAGCAGCTTTGATGGGCTCTGAATTTAGCGAAGGTAGTTTGCTCTAGCGAATCAAAAAACATATTAGGTTTCTACGTCACCTTTTCTTCACTGAAATCCACATTTTGGTGAAGAACATAAATTAATAACTAAATGAATAACCAGTTAATCCCTTGAATAATAATTGGTAATTAATTGTGACGAAATGTCACATGTTATTCAAACACCTAAAGTATTTTAGATTATTAGTGGTGAATAAAGAACTATACCAAAACCAAACAACATTTCCCTATTATTTGAGGCTCACTTCATCTATTTGCTTCTCTCTTTCAGGCAGTACTGACGAACTGTGATTTCAGTGAAACTAGTCTGCTGTAGCGGAAGTAACGAATGAAAGAATAGATTAAGCCTCTACGTCATCATTTCTTCAATGAAACTCACTTATGATAAAAAAAAGGAAATTAAGAATTAAGTAATAAAGTGAACATATCTACTAAGCAAAAGTAACACAACCAATAAAACAACATATCTACTGAAGAACTGGTGACTGCTGTCAGTTAGTTATCTTCCCCCTGGTTGTAGTTCAAAATTAGGGACAGTAGTAGCTAGCCTCATTAGCTTCGCCATAAACAAACAAACAATGCACTAATATTTTGTATTTGTTTTATAGAACAGTGCATTTTGTTTTTAGGATGTTACATAAGTTTATTAATGTATGGTTGTGAAATGTTCTACCAAATGTTCTTTAATATTCTCCATAATTCAACCAAACTGTTTGGTCGTTGTTTAACATGCCCAGTTTCCATATAAGCACGTACAAGATCAATAATATTATTATCAATATTTTCTGCAGGCCAAGTCTTGGTCGTTAGTGTTCTTAACGGTCTCTTCTTTTTATATCACTATATTTGTTGTATGGTTGGGACAACAATCTTGCTGTAAAATGAATATGTACCCAGCACATCTTATTCCCGAGGGAATAACACGATGGATAAGAATATTCTTGAACTTGTCAGGGTGTAGTAATTTTGTGTAGATCTTCAACATCATTGGTTGAGATGCAACCCATACTTATAGTGACCCCTCTAGCATGCTTCATAGATGTTTGTGTTGACCATGATACCATTTTCCTCCTTGTGTTTGAAAAACTGTCGTTGATTGTTGCCATAAAAAAGAGCTCTCATTTCAGCTTTGTTGATTTCAGTATTTGATGGCGTATTTCACCTTTTTGGCTTGGTTATCTCTCCTAAGCAGTTGTTATTGAGTAGCTACGCATTTATCGAGATCATTTCATGCTACTGCTACGGAGATAACATTCACCTCTATACTTACAAATGGGTCATTGGCAAGGCCTCTACTGATTTGTCGCGTATAACATAACGATAATGCCATGTATTACTTAACATGATCTTTGAACATTTGGGCTTGCTTCCCCGACCGCTTCTGTTACCGACAATATTAGTTTCACGTACCGTTTACAGAGGTTCTTCTATTGAAATATGAAATTTCGCCTCAACTGGCAGATTAATTAGTCTTCAGCAGCCAAAAATATTAGCTCAGCGCGTTCGTCAACACATACAAACGTAGCTTAAAATAGTTAGCAGTGTTTAAATGTTTAGTTCTAAAAGTGTCTGAATAAGACGGATGGTTGTTATATGGTCTTAAAAAACATACGCTATTGTTCAATATTATTGCTGTCTAAATGTGGGGGGATCAGTATTTTGTTTGTTTGTTTGTAATTAAGCACAAAGCTACACAATGGGCTATTTGTGCTCTGCCAATCACGGGTATCGAAACCCGGATTCTAGCGTTGTAAGTCCGCAGACATACCGCTGTGCCACTGGGGGGCGAGAGGATCAGTACCACATTATTTAAAACTGTGAGGTGGCATAATTTTCACTATAAATTATGTTTATGGGTAAAGTGTTTTACAGTTAACAATACGATTGCACCCATGACATTTCATCGGGGACTTTACTAATATATATTTGTTTATTTTTCAAAAATGCTTATTCACATATTCAATATGATAAGTTTTAAATTACTATACGAAGATTTTTGTGTATCTTGCTCAAGGTTGCTTTTGGTTTGTTTGGAATTAAGCACAAAGCTACACTATGAGCTATCTGTGCTCTGCCCACCACGGGTATCGAAACCTGGTTTCTAGCGTTGTAAGTCCGCAGAGCTCAAGGTTGTTGCAACAAGTTTTGAGTTCGTAAAAAATAAGTCCAAAGAGCATTTATTAAACTTACTTTTATTTTAGTGAATTAAAACTTGAGCTTTTATTATTTAAAACCCTATAAAGTAGTTGAACAACCTCATTTTCTCAAAATCATAATAAATGCACATTAAAATGTTCTGTTATTGATAACAACAATATTTATACACATACACGCAGACGTCATTGGAGTACTGGAAATACAATGAAATGAATTTAGGTTAGGTTTTTTTTTTTTGGAAACATTGTGGAAAAAAAAGACAGTAAAATGGAAAGTGAAAACTACACATACTTTCAAATATTAATATGGACCTTAAAAATTTAGAAATAATTTCTACATCATTCTACATATCCCATTTTCAAAAGACAGGTACCGCATCATGAGTAAGTCTAAGAACAAGGTAGTATTGACATTATTCGTAGGTTAAACATGAAAGCAGTATTGACATCATTCCTGTATGAAACATGGCGTGATGCTGCTTGTGACGTTCTTGAACAACATCAGGTCTTGGTATTGACTGGTGATTTCAGCGATGGTAGAATAGTGAAACCAGAGACGACAAAAGTGTAATACGTCAAAATACGTTTCTTCTATTTATTTTTGTGTTATTTCTCTTTCTGAAGAGTCTTCTACTCTTATTATATAACTATTCTCTCGTTCAATAAATACTTGCACGACTGCTCGATGTTTCGAATACCTTAAATAAGTTTCATGTCTATTGTTATTCTTGTTGTTTTAGCGCAAAGCTACATAGCGAACAATCTGCGCTCTGTCCACTGCATTGAATCAAACCTCGGATTTCAGCATTGTAAGTCTGTAAACTTACTGCTGTCCCATTATGTCTAAACATAATATAAAAATATACCCTCGAAAACACAAAAAGCTTAAAAATATATAATTATGCAACTGTAGAAATTTGATTTTTTAAAATGAAGACAGTGGTTTGAATTTTAATTTAGGAACTGTTGATACATATTATCAGTCTACTCAAACATGAGAGTAAGGTATCTTCATAACATTTATTTATTTCTGAGATGTTTATGGCGTCTTCACATTATCTCTATCTTTTAGGAGGTGTTATAATTGTTGAAAATAAGATATACCACATATGATAAGAACAAGGAGAATATAGTTGCATTTTAGACTTCATATAAAGATTAATCTTTAAAAGAACAAGCAGGAAATTATTTGAACCGAATATCAAGGGAAAGCTGTCCGCATTTTTCACGTAGTCACAAACTGGTACGCCATTATGTTTTAAGCTCATCTTATTAGGTACAGTTCGTGTCACTTGAAGTCAGCTGGAATTACACCTGTGAAAGTTGTTTTCAATTATACATGAGAACCATCTGTTACTGTAAGGGCGACCATGTATTTTGATCCAAAAGTACAGTCCTCTCGCATTTGAAAAATACGCTTCACCTGAAGATACGTTATTGTTAGTATGAATCGTACATTTTCAAACTCGAGTAACGATAACCTAAGCTTACTTCAGAACGGAGGAACTGAATTACGGGCATCTTCTGAAACTGCGAGTTATACTTATGGTGAAAACGGATCACATCACCACCAAGGTAGGGTATTTGTTTGTTTGAAGTTAAGCACAAAGCTATACAATGAGTTTTCTATGTATTCTTTTTTTGCACATATGGACTGAGTTGTTATGTAGAAGTAGAGCATATTTCGAAGAATTAAAATTAAAGCACGATAGTACGAAGTGTTTGATATTCAAGGCTACTGACAGGCTTGGTAGAAAATCCATAGGATTATAATGACAAAGTCTATTTGCAATAACTGGCTAGCTAGTCCAAGGACCATGTGATTAAAGTTTTGATTACAATTCAGTGTTCGCAACAAAAAACATCGGTTACTATAGTAATTTTATAATAATAAACTCTAACTAATATTCACTTTACACAAGTAATCAAAGTTTTCTTTATTTTAGAAATTATACAAAACATTTGAAAACTAAATCAACCGAGCACTGTACTTATAGTTTAAAACTGACCTTCAATATACAAATCAAGACTTGTAAAGTGCCATACATATCAAACGTTAGGGAATATTTAAATATTTACTCATATAATGGTGTAAATATAACAAATCTATTAGACACATATAGACAGGGAACGCATTAAAAGCAAACAAGTATTTCTCGACATGCTGAGACACGTTATGTATAAGTCATGGCTGACTAGAAACACATTCTCTACTATGTGGTACTATTATGTAATCATTCATTATGGCCTCTTCTCATGGTAGCCTAGCAACGCTACTTTGGTAGCAAAATTTGGAACTATGATTTATTCATCCTAGATGACCACACACATATGATGCCATCTGGTGACAAAATTCGAATTATAAACTCGTCATCTTTGATGACATCACCCCTCCCTTCCCTCGACACACACACACACAAATATTTTAATATTTTAACATTACAATATGTGGCGCCCTCTGGGGGTGAGTCTGAAGTGCCAACCTTACTACTGATGTGGAAGGTATATGTTTCCTTTGTCACATGTTCCAGACTGCTGTTGATGACTTGAGAATGTTATTTCAGTACATCAAGGATACAGGCTTGAAATTTAAATCTGGAAAGTGTGAGCTGGTTTGCACAGAAATGCAGTTTCTTGGTTTCATAGTTGGTAAAGGTGAAGTGTCAACTGATTCTGCAAATACCACAGTGGTAAAAGTTTGCCCTTATACTTTCTAATAAACTATAAATTTAAAGTTTTCTTGGTTTCATATTGTATTATTGAGGGACTATGGGCAATTGCTCCAAGATAATAGCACTACTGTCTGCATTATTCAAAGTTTATGCATGCTTTACATGGAGGCAAGAATATTAAGATACATTCCAGATCTTGACATGAGCCTTGGTTAACACAGTGGAACTGGCTTATCCTTGTCATTATTTTACAACTATTCTGGATGTAGACACTAGTGATAGTAGAATTAGTACAATTCTGTCACAGGTACAAGATGTTGTGAATCACAAGAATACATATGTGAGCTATATGTTAATTGTTACTGAACACCAATATTGTATGACAAAAAAGAATTGATAACAACTGTATTTTTTGCCAAACATTGCTACTTTAACTTCTATGGATGAGAGTTCATCATTTAAATGAACTATGCATCACTGGAATGGCTAATTAAGTTAAGAACACAAAAGGTACGATTGTATATTGGAAAACTACGCTACAAAGGAATAACTTCATTGTAAAGCGTTGATCAGGTGAGCAGCATGGAAATTCCAATGTATTATCTCATCAATCCGCGAGACAATATCCATCCATTAAATGTTTACATCCTTAACATTATGTTGCAGTAGTAGTGATGTCAAACCATAAGTGTCAATTATATGTTTGGGTGATCATCACAGGTGACCAGTCATGATCCTTTTTTTTCAGGAGAGAGGGATGAGCAACTAAAAGACCCTTAGCCAGATTAAGAATTACTTGCCATGAAACAAGGTAGCATGTGTCCATTACAATATGGAAAACATAGTACTGATACTCACAAAATCTGACAATTTTATTAGACGGCCACGAGTGTAGGATGGCATATTATGCTATTGTCATGAATCACTAAGATAGGTTAGTCAACATGTGATGAAGTTAGTAGTCTCTAGTGCCCTAAGGCAGGAAATTATTCAGACTTTGCATGATGCAAAGACTGGATGTTACTAGGGGGTGCCATGAAATATTGTATCCAAGCAGTTTTTCTGGCCAAATTCATTTAAATATATTGACTGATGGGGTAGACACTGCACTCAATGTACTACACAGAAGAAAGTTGACCATTCCAGGGAAAATTTAGATAGAGGGTGGATGGCTCCCATCTTAATAGAATTGTTTTGGATGTATCTTGTTCTCTGCCTAAAACTGAAAAGAGGTGTTGATCCATTGGTTGATACATTAATGCAGGGCATTGTTAATGTATTGGCTGAATAATGGATATCATACTTTAGGGCACCTGAAAAAGATTTACATTATTCATGGAGCTAACTACTATAGTCAGTTGTTTATATAGACTGTGTTGAGCATTGAGAGCTGTGAAGATGCCCAATTCACTATATCATATTCAACCTAATGACTTCTCTGAATGGGTGGTACAGACTGTCAAACGTATGTTTGCTGAGTTTGTTAACCCTGCTCTAAGTGAATGGGTTGAGCACCTAAAATATGTCAAGATTGTGTATCACATAAATGAGTAACATTCAACTAGTTGTTCTCCAAATATCCTGATCGAATATACTATGGTCTTCTGCACTGTGCAGATGTATCATAGTGTCTACAGGAATATGTGGAGTGAATGTGTTTATCACTAACTGAAGTGCAAAAATTTTAGTCAGTAAATGGGTAAAGTGACTGTACATTGAAAATAATACCAAGACAAAAACAGTAATGTCATGGAAACTCATGCTTAATCACTGGGTGTAGTTACCCCAGGAATCAGATATAGATGATAGACAACGTCCTGAGACGTACATCCTTCAATTCTTGATAAACGTTCCTATCTTTATTATTATAGATGGGACATTACTCTATGTACTAATCTTCTGTTGTATGCCGACATAGTTTATTCTATTTTTGAAGTCTCTTATTCTCTCACTCGCTTTCATTTAGAACCTTGGATTTTATGGGGTTTTGTTTTTACTTAGACTCTTTGCAATGATATAGTTGACCTTAGTCTTACAGAAATGGTCTCAAACTAAAATATCCAATAGCATGTAGTTTTGCTGAACGAAAGAAATAGAAATACTAGATAATCTACATCATATAAACTGAAAAATATGTTAGACCCATTGTTTTCATTATTGTTGGTAAAATAATGTCTTCCAGTTTTGATAACTGAGATATCCATAGATTATGTTACATACGTCACAGATTAAGTGATTAATATTACATACCAGATAGTTTATATTACAGATTAAGTGATTAATATTACATACCAGATAGTTTATATTACAGATTAAGTGATTAATATTACATACCAGATAGTTTATATTACAGATTAAGTGATTAATATTACATACCAGATAGTTTATATTACAGATTAAGTGATTAATATTACATACCAGATAGTTTATATTACAGATTAAGTGATTAATATTACATACCAGATATTATATTACAGATTAAGTGATTAATATTACATACCAGATAGTTTATATTACAGATTAAGTGATTAATATTACATACCAGATAGTTTATATTACAGATTAAGTGATTAATATTAC